CGACACCTCTTCATGAAGTTGGTACACGTAGTATTTTTTGTTAATCCGTTCCTCGATGACGATTAACTTCAGATGCACGTAAAAATTATCTTCACCGAGACTGTCGTCGAGACCGCTTAAAGAGAGGATAATGCGTTTACCGAATGCGCGGCTGTGTTTGCGGGCTCGTCGCAGTCTTCATAGAGGGTGGTGATTATGCTCTAGTGGCGGGCAAAGTGGCGGGTAAAGCACGAAGAGGCTGGTCGTGAAGGAGGCATCGGGTCGGGATGAGAGGCAGAGTGCAGAAGATACGTCGAGATCGGATGGTACACGTGAAGTGAAGATGCTCAGAGGAAGAGAGGGCCAGCTCGGCACTTCGCGGGTTACCCGCGGTGAATTCCGAATTTCCAGGGCGTAGCAAATTTCAGAAAGCTTGGCTATATACCGCCTTGGCTCGGTCGTCAAGTAGGATTTTGCTCGCCCGTGACAACGAATTTCGGGATCGCCGTGTAGATAAGAGCCGCAGAATTTTATCCCGGCTTGGGATAATGGAAGGACGAAGGGAGGCACGTCGTATTTCTGAATAAAAACTCGTGCCTGAAAAACGTGAAAAAGAATGTCAGTGGAATGTCTTTTATTTGTCACACGGACTATTCTACTTCTTTCTTAACAAATACTTTATATCGCGCAAAAATTATATAACAGTTTTTATTACACGTTCTTGCATAATCAATTTAAAACGTTATGTAATTCTTATATAGCCTTTAGCACAAAACTATTTTACTAACATTAAGTTAGTATGCTCGTGTTCGATATTTCGATACAAAACGGAATTTTGTATAGTGTATAAATTATTTTGGATAAAAGGAAAGGGACTTAAAATGTGAAAGATATTTGTAATGTGACTTTATAATACTTCGAGCAAAGTTGTTACGATCTGTATCAGCGATAATATAATGAGCATACTGAAAGCTGATTTGTCGACAGAATACTTCTTAATAACAATTTCTCTCTTCGATCTTATTGACTGGTCGTACAAGGTAACCTAAAAGAAAAAAGTTACTAGAAGAGAATCTTATTTATTTATTTACATTATCCTATTATTTATTAACATTAATAAATACGAGGGGCACTACTTATATTTTGAGCCTTGGCAACATCTGACGTTTCCACTAGAAAGTTTGACATTTTTTACCATAATCTTCTTCAGAACGTTTTGTTATTTGAGCGCGATTTGAATTGTTTACAGTCACTTGAAAATTGTGTCTCAGCGAAAAAATGGAATTAACTCGTGAAAATTTTCGTGCAATGATTTATTACGACTTTCGACGTGGATTATCAAGACAGGAGTGCATCGATCAACTTACTTCCACTTTTGGCGATAAAGCCCCATCCTTTGTCACTGTGAAACGCTGGTATAACGAATTTAATCGTGGTCGCCGTTCGCTCACCGACGAAAGTCGTGAAGGTCGTCCAAAATCAGTTGTGTCAGAAAACATTGATGCTGTGCAAAAACTAATAATGCAAGATCGTCATGTGACATGCCGTGAGATTGAGACAACCTTAAGCATTAGTTCCACCAGCATATATAAAATATTGCATGATCATTTAGCCGTGAAAAAGGTTTGTTCTCGTTGGATCCCACATAATCTGACAAAATCTCAAAAAGATGCTCGTGTCGATTGATGCAAACAAGTGGTTCGAACGCATGTAAAAGTGTATAGATCATAAAGGAGAATATTTTGAAAAACAATAAAGTTATTTTTAATGATAAATTACTGTTTTTTTATTATTAGGCTCAAAATATAAATAGTGCCCCTCGTAGTAAAAAATATTCGACTATTTTAACTTTAATAAATTAAAATTTATTCTGACATGCAATTAATTATAAATACATTTGCATTACATGCAAAATTTGTAATTGCAAATATTTAAATTTATTATCAGGTACTTTTTAAGAAAAAAAAGATAAAAATACTGATTTTTTTAAGTCTTGAGTATTAATTATACAAAATCTTTAAATAGCTAATCAATACGTATAATTAAAGTGATTAAATTTTATTACTTAAAATATTTTGGTAAAAATTGTAGTTAAGTACTTGATTTTCCTTATAAAATCAGTCGTAGATTCTTGAAATATATTCGTGCATTAAATTTCATGAAGTTTGAATGAATGCTCCCTGAACTCTCCACAGACTGCTGTTTTCGTACCTAACTTCCACTTCTGTTTACCCGCGATAAATATTGAAACTTTCAGTTTGCATGTAAAAACCGTCAATCAAACGTCGAAATAAGTCACTTTGCTGATTCACATAATTTCTTCTTTCTTAAGTTCCTTGTTGGAAAGTTAGATCGATGGAATTAACTTTATTCCCAGTTTCATTATTATGTTTATCTTAGAGGCTCAAATTAAGATAACAGGAAATGAGCAAAGTAAAATAAGAATTAATTGACACAAAAGTCGCATAAATGTGTAGTTAGCAGAATTCTTAATGATTTCAATGAGAACAAGTATTAATTTTTTATCAATATTATGGATTATTTTTATATAGAAGAATTGATGAAGATTAAATATCTGGAATAATATTATTATTACATGTCTATAAATGTTTGCATATATGAATTAAATATATCATCCATATTCTTAATTATTTGCTTAATATTGGATAAGCGCATACAATCATAGTGCTTTATAGTTTATTTTTACTCTTCAATTTTCAAAACTTATTAATATGCATACATTTTTCTTAATTTATTCTCGCCACATTAATATTGTATTAATAAACTGCCATCTATAAACCGTCTATCATGTACCGATGCTACTTCATCTGATCGAAATAGAATTTTGATTGAATTTAATTATATCTATAGTGTAAAATAGAATTGCACTTGAAACACGATATACAATTTTTTAATATCTAATCAAAATTCTATTTCGATCAGATGAACTTTCATCGGTACATGATAGTTTATTGATACAATATCGACAAGCGAGAATGAAATCACAAAAAGTGCATTGAGCATTGAAAATTGGTGAGCAAAACTAGATTATAATAAAATTTTGATTAGATCTAATTTCATCTAATTGGAACAGAATTGCATTTGAAACAATATACAATTTTTTTGATTGCGTGATGAAAAAAGTGAGAAAGAAAGAAAGAGAGAGATTCCTTCTTCGATGAGCGAAGAAGTTACTAAGAGAAAAATATATCCTGCTAAAAGGCAGAAACGATGAGAGGACGCCGTACTGAAGAAAGCGGTCGGTACGGAAGAATTTTACGAAAATGAGAAGAAGGAGAGAATCTTTCCTATTCCTAGTAGTACGAGTCGTACTTTGATCAGACGCAGTGGATTTACACTCACTCTCAGCAATCCTCCCGCTTCTTGTCGCGTCGCCTTATCTTTTTCTTTCTCACATATTTCTCTTATCCCCGTATCCCTCCTTTTTCACATCCTCGCCCCTATCTGTCGCGCTGTAGCAGTATATCCTGACGTCTTTGAAGAAGAACTCGCGCGTCGCGGACATTTCAGATGCCTTAGGCACAACCGGAAGTGCCGTTGCAATGCCATTACCTGCAGAAGGAAAATAGGTATACAGATACAGTGAAGAAGGACAGGATGGTAGGAAAACAAAGAGGGAACTACAAGAAAGAGAGAGAGAGAGAGAGAGAAAGAGTGGGTGAAAAGAAAGAGGGGATGAAAAGGAGGGAGAGAGAAAATATTGTAAAGAAAAGCGATCGCGGCGAAATCCTTTTCTTCGCGAGAAAGACACGTACACGTCGTCGGTGTCTTTTCCGCGCCTTATCCAGCATACAAAACTTATAGCATGTGACATTCGCAGGAAATGAGACACGAAACGAGATGTATGTTCCAAAAACAAGATACATTTTACGAGCGACTTGGTTTCCATTTCTCTATAAACTGAACGCTACTCTCCTGTGTGCACGCGATAGATCCCATCTTGCGACTTACCTGCATACACTTATTCACGCAGATTTTTGTTCTAAAACAATAAGTCGCGATCCTTGTTATTAAATCTTGTAGCAGTTGCAACGAAAAAGAATATTTGTTGTAACAATAATACATATTTGATATTATATTTTATATATACAGGAAGTACGAAGGCAGAGGTGAAATGTTAAAAGTGCGATATGATCAGGTATCGAAGAAAACTTTATTCTCACAAAAGTTCAATATTTCTATAAAAAGTGTGCATACTATGAGAGAATATTTCCGTTTACTAAAAACGAAGATTCTAACGTAAGAAGGCGCACAAAAATGTCAAAGGAAAAGTGCATCCACATATGGTATGCGCTTAAGAATCTTGGTGCCTCTGAAGATTTATATACTCGCGTAAGAATGTGATTTAATAGGTATGTGTTCGATAAATATTCTTGGAATATTTATTCAGGGCATAAAAGACGGAACCAAATATACCTCGAACATGCAGATCACATTCTGGAATCTTTCATCGTTTTCTTCATTTTTTAACAATATCCGTATATAAAGTTAAGGATTTATAAAGATAAGAAGATATAAAAGACTCAAATGTGAATTTACTAACTTCTTAAAACATAAATAAAGGACGATGTTAAAAAGAGACCGATTTTGCTCAAAAAGGTGTGAAAGAAATAATTTTTGTAAATCTTGACCTCCTGAATACGATAAAATCATTAATGTCTTTTTTTATAAAGAATTTTTATTTATTATCTGCATTTTGTATGAAAAACTTAATATTTAATACATCGAGGGTTTAGTCGTTTAATTAGCTGCAGTAAAGTCGGCAATGGTCGACCAGAGACGTGATTGTAGCGAGTCGATCTCGAAGGGAGATAGAAGTATGGGGAAACGGGGGGAAACGACGAGGTACGTCGCGTCGTCGGGCACGAAATGTTCCGGAATCTAAACTAGAGAATTTGTTCGTGCGGGGGCAGAATTTGTCGGCGTGATCGCGTTAGATACGATTATGCTCACGACACGATTCCACCGGGAAGTAATTTCTTTGTGGTTTTCTGTTGCAGATACAAGTCTATGGCTTTAACGCCGAACTGTATCACAATATGAGCGAGGCACAGCATAAAAGTCAGGGACTGGTGGCGATCTCGTTAATGGTGCAGGTGAGTGAATGTTCCATCGACGAAAGTTTCGTCCATTCTTCAAATTGTTTAAGTCCTCAAAAAAGTTTTTCGCACGTAACTTTCTTCGCTATAAATTTTTAGTCATTTAATCTTGCATGTCATTAATAAAAACGTAAGTAATTAAATCGTGCAGATATTAGCTTTCTTGCATTCAGTAGAGAATGCATCGAGAATGCATGTAGCCATGTCCAAAATTATTAGGCATTCTTTAAATTTCATAACTCTTAGTATGTAAATCAAAATAAATGCGACAAATTTATTAACATATTTGTTTATTAATAAATTATCACTATTTAATATTTTATTATGTTTGTTTCATGACTTCTGCAATATTTTTTTGGTAAATTCGTTAGTAGTTTTCTACAAGTGGATTTCATGCGCGTGTTTTATTTGTCTTTATTCTTTTCTAATCGCAATTTGTAAGTCTTGTTTTGAAGATTTTCGATTACGAATTTTTTTCTTTAAGTTGACCCGTAAATGTTTGATGTCAACATTTTGTAAATCGCCAATTTATGACTTTAATCCTATTGTTTTAAACCATGTCGTACTAGCATGGCATGTATAAATACAGTTACGCAATAAATTCCAAGAAAATACATACACATGGATCGCAATTCCAAGAAATTATTTAAAAAAAAGTAATGTTATTTTTTAGATAATTATTAATTAATAGAAAACTTGATTATTTTAGATATGACTGTACGGTTTTGAAAAAATAAACAAAATCTGAATTAAGATGTTAACATTAACTTTAAAATTTTGTGAGCTTTTTGAAAATTGAAGAATCAAGGTTAAAAAATTATTAATATTTATTAAAGTAACCATTTTTATTTCGCGCTATCTACATGAATTCATAAAAATATCCGCTCAATATACATCAAATTCTGTGTTTAATTGAATGCAATAAATCCGACAACGATCGAAGAGACGTACACGTATAATTGATATATACCATAATCAATTAACATCATATACATATAGCAACGTAACTATTAAAAAATATATACGTCAAAATTCATTTACATGATTTATCGGTTCCTAACTAAACTCTATGTTTAGTTAGACGAACGATTCATGTAAATTGATAATTATGTTGGTTCTTAATACCTTCCCATCCCCCGACTCTTGTCAAGCCATCGTGTTATGGCGAAGCCGTTTCTAACAGGGCGCATATCGTGATACTAACTTTCTAAACTTCGGACCGCACTTAGCTTCCCCTTACAAATGCATTCGGCGTATCAGAGATTACGGTAGTTAGCACGTAACAGACGCTATGTAGTCTCGCTAACAATGCTTGTCTTGTACCGAATAAATGACGAACATTCGATTATGTTGATTGTCTCGAGCTCGCTAATATTTTTACGGGAATTTTCGTCGGAATTATACATCTAAATGAATTGCTAGAAAAAATAATTTGGTACATGATAAATTTTGATAAATTTTATAAAATTTCATGGAAAATAATACGTTGAGAGAAGGATGTAACAAATGTTTTCGACACGAATAAAATAACTTTAGGGAAAATCGCATATAAAATGTTACTCTCAAAGTACGCGCGTGTGTACTACAGGTGAAGTTTTCCAAACGAGCATTAATTACATCACGGGCGAGGGCGAACATTACCTGTTATTTTTTCAAACAGCAAACCCCGGCAGTCCTTCAGCAATCCCGGCACGTTTCCAACTAACAATATCATTATTATAGCATAATCATTTCGGTCGGAGGCTGCGAGCAAACACGCGGTAAGTTTTCCAAGACGCGCGGCGTTTAACGCAGGAATAAATTTCGAAGTTTTGAGAAGAACCTTCTGGTCGGCTAAAGCTATATCGTGGTCTCTCTTATCCTTTGTTTCTCTCTTCCACGTCCTTTCTTACCACATCCTTGTCGGTTCATTCCTTGTCATTTCACTCGTTAAAAGCTAAATTATACTTTAAGACCGTTCTTTGTAAAACAGACAGTCGCGATGGTTATACCCGCTAGGTGAGAGCACATGAATCGGTAAATCAACAAATCATAAATTTTAATTTTATACAATTTTGTTTGATAGATTTGATAGATTCACTAAAAGATATTCTAAAATTATGAACTTCGATATTACGAGGTATAAATCATAAAGAAAGATTTTTTAAATAATTTTATCTAGATGTAACGATGACGAATTGTCTTAGGATTATGTGTTAATACTTTAATAATAACAAAATCGTTAATGTGGATATAGCTTCAACTAATATATTGAAACGTGATACAAAATGTAACATGATATTGTAAATGTAATTTTAGAATTATTTTACAAATATTACATACACATGTATATGTATACAATAAATACTTGTAATATAATTAAATTACATGTACAAGATAACATTACAATTTGTATCACATTTCACTGCGCAGTATCATACATTTGTACCTTTTACAATAAATGAATTTGCTATTATATTTTTTCTTCGCATGGCAACAGTATCGGATACATAAAATGTATGTATGTGTGCGTGAAAACTAAACCAATTGGTATTGATATTGATGATCAAAGCAGACGCGATTTTAATATCATATCGAACTGTTTCCCGTTCGTATTTTCCTCTTCAAATAACGGATTTATTATCGTGAAGCAATTATTTTGCTTCAACGCTCATGAACCGCTTTCTCGACAGCTTTCTTCGGATCATCTACAAACTCCTTCAATAGAAATATTATGTTATATCTCTTCTTTCACGAGATTTTTTGCTCTCTATTTTTCGTTGACAGAAATCTTTACATCATTTGCACAAATATCGTAATTAATGAATAATAAATTTGCTTTAATCTGACGTTTGAATTTCTTGTGCTATGTTGATAATATATTATCGCAAGATTAAAAAAGGAAGAAATCTTTTCAGATTAATTTATGCAAGTAAATTGATAATTCAAAAATGAACAGGAGGACAAACTTTGCAAAGCTAGAAATTTCTAGGGAATTATAATTTTTTTAACGGGCTTTTATAAAATATCATCCCGTTAAATAGAATTAGACACAAAACTATGTGTTTATTAAATATATATATGTACGTTTTTCGTTCATATGAGTATAAAAATTATAAGTGATGAGTTTTCAGCTGTGTTATTCGAACAGAAATGGAGAAACGCGAGCGGAGAAACCCGTTTCCATATTTTCTGTCGGTGGAAAGCGGAATAGTTTCACTTTATAATAATTTAAAATGACAAAAAGATTATCGTCACGTAATGCATTTCTCTTGCCTTTCTTCTGAGAAAGATGCAATATAAAACATGCAATAACTATTGCCGACCTGAACGATATTTACTTTTGGAATAACTTTGAAACTTTCAATGACGACCTTCTGTCTCCACTCACTCGCACTCTCTTTCAGTGAGCATCCTTTACCCGTTCGCTTTCCGCCCACTTTAGCAACTTAGCCTTCGAAACCGCGGTTATATGGCAGTGTAACGAAGACGATGAAATAAGAGTGAAAAGGAGAAAAAGGGAAAGGAGAAGTCAAGAGAAAGAAAAAGAGAAGTTGTATGCGTTGTAGCGACTATGCGTTATAACGACGCACTTTGACTCCGCTTGCAGCCGTCGACAAACGACAGCAACTTCTGAATATTTTTAAGAGGATGTTTACGAGCGCTCTCTAAGGCGACGACGATGGCCGTAAGACGATGAAAAGGGTTCGTCGACGCGATAATACCGAACATAATAGCGCTTTTTCCGCTAGAATTTACAGCCATGCCTCTACGTGCGCTTTTACATTAGCTCTCGTTGCTTGCCCGTCTGCTGATTAATAAGACAGATAAGTATAAATATTCATGATCCAGCTTCCGCGGAAATAGTGCAAAAGATTTTTCAGTTGCTACATATTCCCGCAAATTAAAATATTCCACTGGAAGAAGAAATGTGAATAATGGATTTATTTTGGTCAGCTAAAGTTACTTACACTGAGAGAAAAAATGGTTATAATTACCATAATTTAACTATAATTTATAATCATTTTCGGGTAATTATATTTTTTGGTAGAATTATAATTATAATTATTATTACTACACGGAAAGAACGGTTTGCAGTTTGCTAAAGTATTTAAAAATTTAGCGAGATACTGAAAATAAAGTTTATTCGACTATCAAAATAATCACGTAAAATACTTAAACTGATTGCTAAAATGTTTTTAGCAGCATTACTCATTATACTTGAGTTTTCATTATAATTATTTTGGTTCAACAAAATCATTCTTTCAATATAATAATAATTATATTTATAATTCTAAAATATAACGTTGTGTTAAAAATATAATTTTGTTCGATTATCAAAGTAATCATGTAGAATGCTCAAACTGGTTGCTTTTGGTCAAACTCATTGCTTATCATACTTGAGTTTCCTATATAATTATAATATTTTGATGACGTAACAAAATAGATTTCAGATTTTTGTAGCTAGCTAAATTTTTAGATGCTTCAACAAAATCGTTCTTCCCGTATAATATTATAATAATAATTATAAAAATGGAGCTCTCGACCATAATTATTTTATTTTTCTTTCAACGTAGTCAAAGTGATTTCATTTTGATAAAATTGAGCTATGGATAATTTTGAATTATATACGACGCTTTAGATGTGACGAACGAGAGGTAGTTAAATATTATGAACTAAAATCCGCATAAACAGAGAACGCTTTTGGCGACCACGAAATATGTATTTTCGCTACGGAATCATAAATTCCAATGAAGGCAAAATAACGCAAACGAATACGCGGCTGCACGGTCCGAAGAGGTCAGCATTTTGAATAATCCCAATGCGGCATCATCCTTCCTGGAAACCTTTAACAGGTGCTCGATCTTTCGACGAATGGATCGTAAAGGCGTGTCTGGAGGCAACGGGGTTGACGACTGTAATTCAAACGGATTATACCCTGGGGTGTCTGAGGGATGAGATCCAAATGAGTTGGCACCTCGTGATACCGCCGGTACTTTTGCGATCTCGGACCCAACGAACTCAGTCCGACGTTTTAACGTGAAACATTGGAAACTTTCGAATCGTATAAATTCGTAACGTCAATACGTAAGATTCTGTAAATGCGTGTTATTCTAAATTTCAACTTTGGTGATTGATTTATTATAATATTGGGATAATAAGGTTGTTCGTTTTTTTTTTTTTAGTAAAATTCAAATGTTGTTAGTTAAAAATATTTTTAATGTTGTTAGTTAGAAATATTTTTAATCGGACAAATATATATAAAATGTGTTTGATAGTAATTACTAATTTAAATAAATTAGTGATTAGAAAAATATTTAAACACCATCTATTGGGAAAAATCTTATAGTCCCACTCAATAGATGCAGATTAATAATAAAACTGATCGCAATTTTTGTAATTTGCGCAATTATGCGACAATTGTCGCAATTATGCGTCACTTACGTTTGACCTTGCGACGGCATAAATGGCGCGTACAGTCGCGACAATTGCTTTATGGAATGCGAAAAGGTCAGAGGGAAATTATACAGCGACTGAACGGAATCAAAAGTTCCTTGGAAAAAGACGAGGGAATCACGACCTACGACCTAAAAAATTTGTGAGGTATAAACGTCACAGTGGAAAACCGTTGGAAAAAAAAGTTTCGGAACCCCGTTCGAGCGAGGTCGAAAAAGTTTATTCGCAACACGCGATTCCAGTTACTTTATTTTCACGAATTGCTTGTGATTCATTGGAAGGGTAAATTACGTACAAACATGAATTCGTGATATTAAAAGAGCGAAATTTGCATGTATAACAGTTAATTTTCCTTTTGCTTTTGAAAAATAAAGAACTCCATATAATCAATCGTAATTAATTGTAATTAAGAGGGACAAAAATATGTTGCATTTTCTTTTTTTTGACAGACTTAAATAATTTATGGGCTTACACAAGGGGAGCAGATTACGCTTGCCACTCCCTCCCCTCCTAAATTTTAGCGAGGAGAACTAATTAAATTATGAAAACTATTTTTACGACGACAAGTTAAACGCTCATTGATCAATGCATAGCTCACGCGTTAGTGAGAAAGTTCGCTGAAGAAAAAACCTCGAACTGCACAGAAAGAACAGTTTTGCTGAAGAATATCAAAATTTAATTAAACACAGATCTGAAAATAATTTTGTTGGACTATCAAAGTAATTATATAAAAAAGTTTTGACATTCCAACAACTAGTTTGAGCATCCTACATTTATTTCAATTTCAAACAAAATTATTTTCAAATTTGTATTTAATTAGGTTTTTATATACATACTTCAGCAAGACTGTTCTTTCCGCTAATATAAGCATTTTAATAAGTTTTGTTTGAAGATAAACTTTTGCCTTTTTCTGACTGAAATCCTGGATACTGTATGCAAATATCATTTATCAATATCTATAGATAGACGTCTATCTATAGATAGATAGACGTATATGTGCCGTGAACGTATTCAGGATTTTTTTTTATCAATTCTGTTATCCCATAAACAATTTTTTGCGTTAATAAATTGCTTAGTATATTTTGCCAGTATGTTTATTTAGAACTTAGAATATCTCCTTTTCTTGATTTTGAATGGGAAAAATATTATGTGCGTTTTGTACATTATAATTATTTTTTCCTGAAGAAAATATGGGCCAAATATGATTATTTTAAAACTGAAATGTATAGTTCTTTAATACTAATAACACACACAATTATATGTAGATGTAACCGCTCGATTGTTTGACACAGCAATACAAAATATTAACTAAAACAACCAATAAACGAGCAAATTAAGATGTTAAATTAAAATTAAATAAAAAGAAAAGGAGGAATGACAAATAAGACATAGAAGAGTCAAAAGTAAAGTTGTATTTTTTTATAATTAAAAATGAAAAATGACTAAACAATTTTGCGGGAGGAGGGTTTTGAACTCCTCCACAAATCCTCCCCCTGGATACACCCATGATCAATACAGCCGAATGATTAGTGCGGTTGTTTATCACTTTAACTACTACGAGGAAATTGCTAACCTGTAATTACGCCACCCGTCAATTTAGCGCGACTGCCAGTCAGTAGTCCTGATCTAATGACAAAAGACAGGAATTCCGCGCTATCAAACGGAAGGAGAAATTTGGTTGACATGAAGGATTCTATGTGCTACGACAGAGAGAGAGAGAGAGAGAGAGAGAGAGAGAGAGAGAGAGAACGAATGAATCGAGCTTGCTAATTCCCCACGTCCGTTGGGTGGACTGCATAATATGACGCGAAGTCGAGCAGTTCCCTGCACCGGTTTAGCGCAATGCCCTTTATCCGCGATCATCGTAGCCAGAAGTGAAACCACAAGAACAGACCCTTGTCGCGCGATCGATACGATCTCAGGACGGGGCGTCATCGTTGGAGCTTGTTTATTGCCCAACTGCCGCGGAAATTACGAAGCTACAATTACAAATTAGTGTACAGTTGATTTACCAAACAAGTAGCAACATGCTGACGGCGTAAGCCGCAACTGCAGACCGGATTTAACTAGATAGACTTTGGTTTGGTTGTACCGTGTGGGATTTAATACAGCTGATTTCGCAGTATTTTACACTGGACATTGGAGGTATAAATCCAAAGAGTGAATTTATAAGTAAATTAAATATATTTTTAGGACATCGCAATTAATTTGAATAAAATAACAATAAGATCGAAAAATAACTTTTGAATTATATCAATAATTTTTGATATAATAGGAAAAATTTCTTTATTATTTTTAATAAATATTTTTTAGATTTATATTTTTGTGTTGAAAATTCCAATGAGATATTCGGGAAATTGAACATTGTAAAAAAAAGTATGAAAATTATATAAATAATAAATATAAAAATCATACAATTTGTAGCATAAATATGTAAAATCATGCGTTTTTATACGTTATAATATGATGTAGTATATATCATAATAATATATTACGTAATGTATTAGCACTTTTATATTCGTACATTAATAACACAGCTTAAGAAAATTTACACTGAACATTGGAGGTACGTAATTCATTGGCGAATTTATATATAAATATTTTTACAAAATTAACTTTAATTGTAAATTTACTTTTGCAAATTGTTTGATTATTATAAAGAATAATTTTATTTGTAAATTGTAACTTTAGGTGAGTAAATGTACCTTTAATAATAAATGTACCTTTAATAGTAATGGATCTCAAAGTTACTACAATTATTGTAATTTTACATGTAATTTTTTTACAGTGTATTGTACATATTAAACAATTTCAATGCGTGTTTTAATGTTCTATCGTTTCGGTGATAAGAAAAATCTTTTTTTGATTAAATAAATATGAAGAAATTGTGATTACCGCGAATTTTCCCAGTTAAGTTTATTCTTGAGCGACGAGATTAAGAACGTTTAAGGACGGCCGTCATTGAGATTAATTCTCTTAGCTCATAATTAAGATTAGGTTCCCTTTATTACAAGAAATTTAAACGGAGATTAAACCGTCGGCGTCCACTTACCTGTCTCGCAACTGAATCTCGATTACGTCCTATGTAATTCTCAAGTATCTGGATTAAGAGGTAAAACAGTCGGTACCTCTTTACATACTCATAGCTCTTGATAATTTCAATAGTATTAGATATATTATGTAGTCAATAATCGTTGTATCAAAGCGCTAATAAAATTTATTAACGTTTGCAAAAATATGAAATTTAAATTCGTACGTTGGTTTTTTAAAATTCAGCGTTAATGATGTTTAAAAATTTTAATCTTAATTTAATTATCGCAATTACATTTTATTTATAATATTTTGACTGTCATGGCACCCATATTTGAGTGATGCATAAAATTTGCAACTTTTAATGCATTTTCAATATATTTCATACTGACATATGATATTTCTTTTTGCAGTAAACAACAGTTTACAGTTCTCAAAGACTAATGGAAACATTGTTTTCTTGTTATTTATTCACAATAGCTCTTGCAAAACGCTCTTTCATGCAGCAACAATATCGGTAGCTTTAATTAATGATTATCCATAAATCTGGATACTGCAGAATATGTCCATTGTAAAGAGAAATATCTCTGCCGCGCGAACTCCATCCCCGATTGCATCTCACTTCATTTTATCCATCTTCTTATCTCCCTTGTTTACCTCTATTTATGGAACGGAGAGACGAGGCGGAAGCGGCGATAATAATTTCGTGCCACGGATAGGGAAACGGCAAAACTTTTGATCGACGGCGGGCCCACGCGGCCACGCCACGCGCATCAACTTTTATTATTTATCGTTACTTTAAAGTCCGCGGTCGGTTTAGTCAGGGGTTTTACGGTTACCTTTAATGGCGCCCAGCGTAGAACTTTCGAAACGACTCTTTGCCTTCACCTCTTTATGCAGTGCACTTAGCACCGACCGAGCAACCCCTTTTCATGGGAAATCGATGGAAAACGTATCAGGGCGGAGAGAAAACGGCGAAGGACACATCGCTGACACGGTGCACGTGGCGGTGGAAGTTACGATATAAGGTGTCGCTGTCGTTTAGACTTTATACAAAGAGAAGTTGTTTTCTGTTTCAGCTCGGTGAGACGTTAAATCCCGAACTGCAGATCATCACCAGCGTGTTCAACAAGGTCATATATCGAGGTGAGTACAATATGTCGCGGGAGGAAGCGTAAAACGCTTCTTTATTCTTTTCCTAAATCAAGTTAGAAATTCCATCGTCATCTTTGGCTCTCTATTGCGCAATATCACGTTCGCTTGTATCTCGTTCAACGATGTGATAACTTTTTTCCTTTTAATTCCGCAACTCCATTGGATACCGCCGACAGCTTTGCTTTTGTGTGCGCGTGATGTCCATTCCGCGTTCTTCTTCTTCTTATGCTATATATCTTGAAATGATATTAAACAGTTTCAAATATTAATGCTTGCTATTTATTGGGATTTATTACATAGGATGTTATTTGAGATCATTAATGTAACTATATCTAGTAAGCAAGAAACATTTTGGAACATTTCAACAACATTGTAACGTTACTAGATATAGTTACATTAATGATCTCAAATAACATCCTATGTAATAAATCCCAATAAATAGCAAGCATTAATATTTGAAACTGTTTAATATAATTTCAAGATATATAATAAACCTAATCCTGTATAATAAACCTAATCCTGTATAATAAACCTAAATAAATAGCAAGCATTAATATTTGAAATTGTTTAATATTATTTTTTATTTTTTATCTTATTGTACGAAAATGACTCGATACACTGTTCAATTGAATGTCAAATTATATCTATTTAAGTTGAATTATTTTTAATAATTTCTATATAGGTTGCTGTTATTCCTATATTCAATATGCCGTTAATTTAATTAAAACAATGGAATTAAGCAATTTAACTTAAGCAAATATATTAAATTTGATTCAAATTTAGATTATTATATATTAAGAACATTTACGTTAATATAGACGTTGTTTACTTTGAAACTGATCAGAATTGATTTACCAATGTTCTTTTCATATTTAACAATGTAGAGTCGAAACGTTTTTTCACAAAATTTATAATTTATATTATTGTAACATTTTCATTAGTATGACTCCTTTGTAGTTTAGTGTTATTACTTAACTAGCGTTAAAATCAAGTTTAGTTCTAAACCCTTTAATTTTATCGTTTGAATTTTAATCAATTGAACCTTTGTTTCTACATTAATTTAATTCTAATTCTTGCTACTTTATTATTAATTATATGAGTAAATACAAATAATGTACGCTATCGTATTTCTGAGTAAATAACGTTATAATTGGCGAACAGCATATTTACAAAAGTAAATCGCGCGTGTCGTGTTTAAACGTTGCTCTATTATTTCCTTAAACAACCAAAAATTTATGAAACATTATACAAGAAATACGTACTTAATTTTATTATGGAAAATTTGATTTTCGAAATAAGAGTTTGAGAGTAAATTTAATGCATTCTACATTTTTGCAAAATTGCATCGGCATTTTTATTTTTTCATTTTTTTCAATGCCATTGAATGCATCTGGTTATTGATGTCGGACGTATCAAGCGATGTGTAATAATTATCTATTCGTGATCGCTCTCCCATTGGTGCTTTTTATGGTGTACGTCGGGCGAAGCGACGTAACGACAGACGACGTAACTACGCCGTATTGTGTCACCGGAACGTAAATCCTGAACAAGCTGTGCAGCAGCTCGATACTAATTTCCTACAATACCCTGGCTAAATGCATCATTGAAATCGTCTCGACGTACTCCACATCGAAGAAACTTGATAGATATATGATGCATATAAGAGATAGAACTTTAAAAAATAACGAGATCTGAATGTTTCATATAAAGCGAGAGAGAGAGAGAAATTGTCTTTAAAATGCCTCTACAAAAAATATCCTAAAAAAGAAAAAAGATGTTTATCTTTAGACTATTTTATAGAAATAGATCTACAACACTTGGCATTTTGCATGAACACATCGCTGTATTGATATAAAAGTGACACATCATAAAATGAGTAATTTTTTTCAGTAAAGCACAGTAAAAATATCTTGAATATGTTAAATACATTACTTTAAACTAAGAAGCGCCAATAACGGTCTGAACGTTAAAATGTTGAACTATTTTAAATTAATTTTTAAATGAATTAATTTCAGAAATTATAATTGCGTGCCGATATGGTTATCGAACTTTCAACGCAATCAAATCTGAAATATTAATAATCCCCCCAAAAATTCCCAACTTAAAAACTGTAATAAACTTATTGCGAAAAATAATGCCTCGGGTGGGAGTCGAACCCGGATCTCTTGCATTCCGTGCGAGCTAAGCCTTTAGACTACCGAGACCTTAGTATTATTCTTCGCAATAATCGATATGTATAGAGAGTTACGCATTTTCGGCGAGCGTGTATAAACAATAATAAGATTGGAAAACCGCTTATGTTAAATACATTACTTTAAACTAAGAAGTGCCAATAACGGTCTGAACGTTAAGATGTTGAACTATTTTAAATTCATTTTTAAATGAATTAATTTCAGAAATTATTCTTGAATTTCAGAAATTAATCTTGAATATGTGTTAAAACGGGTCCATTCAAGTCCTTATTAAAATTTTGGGTTGAATTTTTAACATATCCGAGTTAATTTAACATAATGTGATAAAATGTTATTTGAATATTTTGTGTTAAATTGATATTCAACATTTGTTAGTGTTAAAACAATTTATAAATAAATGAACAAGTAATATAGAAATAATGTATTCTAAAACGTAAGTTCTAAGATAATCGAATAAAATAGGATCGGAGATATTCGAATATATTGGAGTATCAAATACAGGAGAAAGTTTGCTTGAGCTATAAAAAGGATTTAATATCGAAATTCTTAATTCGTTCAAGGTCGCCTGAAAATTCTGAAAGGCGAGGCTGCAATTAATGACTTTTCTTTAAAAGACTAGTCTGCAAAGAGTGCGGTGCGGAATCAGGCATGCGGTTTCGCGTCGCGATGGATACGCGCTTCACGCATTGGGTACTCCCGGTAAGTTTTAGACGGAAAGTTGGTCAAATGCTGCAGTCCGTTGGAGAAACCGTGGGTAATAAATAAAACGCCGTGGGGATGAGGAAAGAGTTTTATCCGGCGATACCCGGATGAAGCTCAGAGGGACGACGGCGGTGGCGGCAGCAACGGTTGTAGCGAATAGCACTCGAGTCGAGAGTGAAAAGTCGAGAGCGAGGCCTCTACGAGGAGGGAAAAGACGAAGAGGACGAAATGACTCTCTTAAGATAACGAGTCACTTCCTCGACCCACCGAGTATTCGCGCCAATAAACGCGTCGCTGTAGAATAAAATGAAAAGTACCCCTTTCTCTATAATCTTAAGTTGGAATTTGTAAAAAAACGATGAGTTATCATATTCGGTTGGATAAATACTGGATGTTACCTTTTCGGAGCTATTTTTAAACATATTTAATAACTCTTTCTTTTTCTCTCTTTCTCTCTCTCTCTCTCTCATGTTTTTTAAAATATATAGAGTTGTACTAATCCAATTTGTAACTGAATAATTTTTCGAAGGACAATATCCTGAAAGTCATCCTTTTTTCGCGTAAAAAACTCGTATACATACAAATAATTATCGCAGAGATCGTTTGTATCGTAATAGGAGGATTATAAATACGTGTTCCATTGAGAATGACAAAAAGTAAAAGAAGTAGCAGTGAGTATGAATAACGAGGAAGCGTTTTAGTGGAGAGCAAGAGTAATGAAGAAAATGCGAACCGACGGTGTAAATTACTTACAGTAATGCTTTCTCGTGCATCGAAGTAAGCAAAACAATGCTACTAGACAACTAGTTAATAAATTTCCGGCTTTCTAATTACCATAGAGTAATTAGTATATTTTAAAAAAAAAAAGTAATCATTGAGTTCCGTCTTTCTTTTTTATAAGTAATTATCATTTAAAATAGTAAATACTGCGTGTCGTGTTACATTAAATATTTATCTGCATCTCGATTTTGTCACAATTATGAATTTTGAGAGAGAGAGAGAGAGAGAGAGAGAGAGAAGGCTCAATTTTCAATATTTAAGAGTGAGATTTCACTCTTCAAAGTGAGATTTACCTAAAAGTTTTAGAGAATTTCATTATATACGATTACTGCAACATTCACATAATATCATGCAAGTTATGGTCTATTGAATTATGTTAAATACTGAAGCGGAAGAAAATTGTAGCGTTGTATCAAAGCACCGATAATACACGCGTTATGCCATGAACGTGAATTGAGTCTATAGGTACCGGGTGCGTTTATATCATCGCGATCCGTCCGCGATTTTTCATAACTTGTCTCGACGAATTAACGCCCGTCAGAGCCTCGTTACGATATTAAAATTAAATGGATGGCGCGCATAATGGATTATAACGCTCGCGCCGCTGCGTCAAGAACGGCGCGAGCGCGATCCACCGTTTTGATGTATCGCGCCACGACTTACGGACGCAAATTGCACCCGACGTAAAATCGAAATATGACTCTCTCTTCCACGCGCGCGCTTTCTTTCTCCCTTCTGCCTTTCTCCTCGCCCGCGGATTCCATCGGCGCAACGAACTTCCTCCCGCGATTTGCATCCGCGTATCCGCCGCGCCGTCGAGAGAGCGCCGAGCAAGAAAGCGCCTCTCGTTCCTCCGTTCAACTTGCGTGGCATAATTCTGCAAATGCCACGGCTGGTTGCATTGCTCGACGAGGAAGAAAATAAACTTTACAGCCAAGTATTCTCGAGGGTGGCAGAGGATGGGACGTATGCCGGCAAAGAGAAGGATGGAAGGACCATCGATGCGCTTCCTCGGTGTGCTTCCTAGTAGGATTTCAGATACCGCCCTCCCACAATCATTCCCCTTCAGTCGTGTGTCCATATAAGGGCGTTCGGTGTCTCTTCGGCTAAACGATTCGACCTGGAAGCGTGCCTGGCGCTTTTTACACGGTTAACACGATCAACGATGGACGCACGAAGGGGAAGAGAGGGACATGGGGTCGATTTACAAGGTACGGCGATGTCACATACTCCGGCCGGTCTGGTGTGTGCATAAATCTGTATGTACGTCCGGGCACGGCTATATGTGTGTATTTTAATCAATACCCTGTTGACACC